GGAGATGTGAAACTGCAAAGACAATTTCTGCAGTCTACACACGAGCCAAGTCTCTCTATGAAAAACAAAACATAGAACTAGTCAGTCCTATAATAGTTGCAAAAAGGAATTAAACTAAACCTGAAAAGCCCTTGGTGAGAGAGCTTGAAGAATTAAATGCCCTCCGTTTATGAAGTCCATCACAAGATACAGACTATACTTAGTCTGCAGAAAAAGAAAAGAAAAACAGGTTCGTATAGTGCTATGATAGCTCAAGAAAACAGAGAAAATGGATAAAGTTTGATTTTGCAAGATTAGCAAACGAGATTTGCTCCAGTCTCTTCGCTCTGCTTGTGATGCTGCTGGTTCTCTTCTTGTTTTCGATAAGGTACATAGAAGGAACAGAGAAGCTGAGTCTAGCAAAGGTTTGAGCAAATTTGAAGTGAGAATCAAAGAGCTTGAGATTAATGCCAAGGGACGAGAAGTTTAATTATTGACCTTCGGGGAAGAGTTTCATTAGCGTTTTAGAAACAAAGATTTTCTTTTATAAAGTCTTGTGAAGTCTGCAAGATTTTCTTTTATGAGATTTATGAGTAAAGCAAAAAAGTATCTAAAGAAAAGAGTAATGTAAAGATCACAATGTGATTCATCTATTAGATTTCTAAAAAAAAAAATATAACTAAATAGGAAAACCAAGTGAGAAGCAATCCAACGAAAAACCAAACAATAAGAATCAATGAATCAATTATAAGAAAAGAACTTCCAAATAAAAGAAAACTAAGAAAAAAAGAATACGTTCTTAAAACTCAAAACCCAAAAAATACATCTAAAGATTTTGAAAATGGTTGGCTTCTCCGAACATATCCGTTGCAAACTTTTGCCGGATATCACTGATGTTTTCATCTGACAGTCCAACATTCATATCTATGTCTAAGGCAAGACACTCGATATACTTCATAGCATATACTCCACAATCACCCGTTTGAGTGTTCTGTGGAATTCTTCTACATCTTGATACTGTGTACTCATCAGTACTTAATCCGTATTGGTCAGCTGGTGAAGCCAATGATTTGAGAAGATATGGAAGTATATGTGCATATGGCCTCACCAACTCTGTTATCTCATCATCGCTAGTTAGCGAAATGATACTGTCGTACACTTCAATATGCTGGTGAGGAATTGAGATAGCCAAAGCAATCCAATGAACACTTTTAATGTTTAGCACAAGGTAGACATCATCGACATCAACGCCAAGTCTCTTATTTGTACTTTCACACCTTGGTAAAACACCTTTATAGTAATCAATTAACTCACCGCTCCAGTCAAAGTTTCTCTGGTTTTGTGAGAACTTTGGGTAGACTTTTGATATCAGCTTTCTGAATGGCACATCCAAAAATGCAATCTTTCACTACGGAAAGGACATGGGACTTTTGCTATTTTTTTTCTCATCATAGACATGCCAACGTCAATATGCTGCATCAAACAAACAAAATTTAGTTTATGTACACTAAATGTTTACACTTGTGAAAGAAAATTTAAATTTTACTTACATCTTCACTTAACCAGAATTGTGGCACAATAAGCTCAGAAAAAAACTGTTTGTCTGCATTAAAAGTGCCCAAGTTCACGGTGATAGGTCTGCAAAATGGAGGTTATTAAACAAATTTTGTTAAGAAAAAAGTAAATATTAAAAAATAGCAATAAATATGTTTTGTGAAAATACGAACTTGTCTATCTTCATCCAAGTGTCTAGCCACTGAACTTTACTTTGATCTGCTATTGCAAACGGATTATACGACTTTGGTTTTGCAATCTTCGTATTTCTTTTCATCTTCTCACCAGTTTCAAAAAACAAATCATAATCCTTGATTTTCACATCTGCTTTTGTCATCGTCTTTTTCTCATTCTCCTTTGCTGGAGTTACACTCACAATTTTGATTGATGAGTCTGTATCCGTACAGTGCAATGAATCAAAAGAGTCTTTTCAAAGATGTTGTTGTTACGTGAAAAAAAAAAAACAAATTGATAAAATATTGTGAATACATAAACACGTAAATATGAATCATCAGCTAAAAAAT